TGTCCTATTGTGCTGCTGATGTTGCTGTTTTTATGTTCTTGCTCTAATGCTTATTTTGTTGATGCTGTTGTGTTGATAATGTTGCCAATGCAGATACTGTAACTGTCTAAATATACATAAAGACAAGATGTTCAGCACTTAGCAGAATAAGAAGCTTAACCACAATATGTTCTGTCACAGATTGAAATTTATGTGATCATTTTTCTCTATTTGCTTAAGCATTACCATAAAGAAAACCATTAGTACATATTCTGTTATTTAATGATTTGAATACATATTATGACATTAACTATTATATTCTTCTGTTATCAGTGTCCTCAGGAGAGGCGATGATGATGAATGGGCCACCAACATCTGCTCCAATGAGGCCACCTATTGGTGTTCCCCCTCCCGGTATGCCAATGATGCCACCACCAGGCTTGCCTCCTCCGGGTATGCCTCCTATGCCCCCTATGGGTATGCCTCCTCCAGGCGCACCACCTCTTATGCCCCCACCCATGCCACCAAATATGCGGCCTCCTCCATTGCCCCCAAATATGGCACCACCAGGAAGCTCGGAGCGTCCTATAATTTCAAATGCAGGTGAGTACAGTCATTAATTTGAGATTTCAGATAAAAAACTCTATTATTTTTTTCTTTCATACGTAATTATTGTGATTTTTAATTCCTAATATTGTGGTCTAAAAGCCCAATTTTGAGCCTTCCTTAACCATAAAACCTCCCCATGAACCCAACCAGAAATTGTTTTCAGGCTCCTGACCGATGGTCTTGGCGCAGTCAAACCCACTGTTAGACTTGTTTGACCCCTGTGAGACTTGTTTGACCTCCTGTCAAATTTATTGAGCCACCACTGAGCTGGAGGCAATATACTTGAATGTAGAGTCAGAGGTTTGCTTCACAGGGCATTTATTTTAGATACTGAGATTAAATCAACTGACATAGTATAGTACTGTATTATACAAATACAACATAAAAAACCCCACCTCTTACCAGGTGAAATTGACCAATGAAATGTTGTCATTACCTAATTAATATTTTTGAGGTATAGTAATGTTAATTTACCTCTGCTTTCAAAGACACAGTACTTTTTCCATTTACTTATTAACAAGGTCAGCATTAAGCAGTTTCAAAACAAAAAAGTACAGATTCTTTTCTCATTACAATTAAAAATTTCTTTCTGCAAAATAACTAATCTTCGTTGTTGATATCTTTTATTTAAAGGCCGGCCTCCAATGCCGCCACCACCTGGTTTAATGCCGCCACCACCTGCACCTTCTATGGGGAGCGGTATGCCGATGAGAAGTCAATTTAGTAAGTAGACAAATGACTGTTTTTACTATCCGAATGGTATTTTTAAATGACTATGG